TTTTTTTTTTTTTGAATGAATTAGCCACTCCATATTATAGTGCTGCTAGCCAGGGACGTAGCCAGAAAATTTTTTTTCACTCTGAGCTGCACGTTTCTGCTAACACTGTTCAATTCGACTTGTGAGAGGTCAAACTCGAGTCACTGGTATATTTAAAGATTGTCTAACATTAAATTTGTTAAAAGTAAACTCGAGTCATATAATTATTGATAACTTAAAGAATGTCTAACGTTAATTAAAGTTCATTTAAACTATCACTCGTCCCCTGAAAAATTTGTTAAGATTGTTTGGAGCGATTTCTTAAAATAAAATGGGCAAAAAGCAACAAGTGTGGGCGGAAAAAAATTGAATTTTCGTATCGAACAGATTAAAATGGTCCGATTCCGAAAGATTTTCATTATTGTCGTACCATTGTTGAAATTGACCTTTTTTAAACTATGTCGGTATCGATTTTGAATGTTTTTGTAACGATCATCCTGTTCGTGCTATTTAATTAATTTGTACAAAATAATATATATATACATATTATACATTATTATGTTTTATATTAGTATTATTGTAATTACACAATTAACAATGGGTCCTTTAATCTATTATGTTTGAGATTTGGACATTCAACTTTATAATTTATTAATATTCAAAGCCCAAAACTAAACAATCTAAACCGGCCCAAAATGCAAACCTTAAAACCCAATGTGCATTTTGATTGATTTATCCATCAAAGTTGAGAAGAGAAAGAGAGTAGGGACTTTACTTCACTCTTCACATTTCACACTTTCATTTGGCATAATGAACAAACATTGAATTTGCAGGCTTTGATTTAGGTGAATTGAAAAAGAAAAAAAGAAGAAAAAAAAAAAAAAACTTGTGCAATTTGCTAAAAATTGTTATTTGATGATCTTGTTATACACTTTTAAAATTTTCTATTTGAAACAAACAATTTTCTTATATTTTGTGTCGCTTTTTGTCCTGATCCTGAATGAAACCGACTTATTTGTGATGGTGTCTAGTCTTGGATCGATTCCTAAAGAAAGGACAAATATCAAGATATGCCAAATCCTAAACCGTCCTGGACCGTGCCAATCCCTAAAAAGCAAACACCATGACCCTGCACCAAGCGCAAACTCAAAATCAACCAAACTCATAATATTAGAAATTATTAGACCATCTTTATCGACAACCCAAATCAACCCGACCTAACAAATAAAATTATTTCTCTCTCCTCCACCTACACAACCCAACATTTCAACTCAAA